TTGCTCATTAGTCTTTTTGAAGTACCTATATAAAAATATATTACATTTTATTAGGTATTTTTTGATTTTTTTAAGTACCTATGATAAAATATTAAAATTTTTGTCTTTTGAGTAAAATAGCTTGAAATATCGAAAACAAATAGAAACAATTTTTTAACATAAATATGTTTTTGGGCTGGATACTCGTTTTTTGTTCTGGCCAATTTCGATGTCTTGATTACTTATTAGTTAATAGGTATTATTGAATTAACAAAAACATATTTATGGTTCATAGATTTTCTTTGAGAAAAAATATCGAGTAGCACTTATTATCGTTTTTTTCTTTTATGGAATTCTGGAGCTCTATAGTTTTGACGAAATTGGATATTTATTTATACAAATGCATTATAAAATATTCTTATAAATAGATAACACCGTCTCCGCGTAGAATCGTATTTCGTATACATTACATTCAAATTTAACACATAATAATTTATACAGTAACCTACTATGAGGCCTATATACTAGTGCTGGACATTGGCTTGCCTAATCCGGATCACGGATTGAAATACAGAATCCGGATTGGCGGATTCAATCCGTTTTAACCGGATTCGCGGATTCAATCCGTTTTAACGGATTCGCGGATTCAATCCGTTTTTCGGATTAACGAATTCAATCCGTTCTCCGGATTTACGGATTGAATCGGTAAATCCGAGTAACTAGTTTAATTTATAAAGCTGAATTAATAATTTAAAAATAATGTTTATGAACAATCAACAAAGTACAGACATCTAGATATGTATGATAATATAATAATATAGTACCTACTACCCAGTCCTGTAAAGTATTTGAGTAAAAGTATTCAAATACTTTTTTAAGTATAACTTTTTAAATACTTTCAGCATGAAGTATTTTGAATGGTATTTTAAATACTTTTTTTTATATTAAATACTTTTTGGTATTGAATACTTTGGTTTTTTATTTCGAACATTTTATTTTTATTCGAGAGAATTTTAGAAATTTTAGAATGAATTAAGAACACAAAATAGGTAGTATCACCAATGGGTGGTTTCTTCCCTCAAAAAAAAAATCATACGCAAATAACCTATGCACATTTGCTTATTGTTCTAGTTAAGAACAGATTGTAAATTTCATGTAAAAATAAAAAAAAAAAATGTAATAAACATTTATTTAATAAATAATAAATAAAAATTATTATAAATTTACTACCTATGTGTCTATAATCTATATTACAATAATTAGAAACCCACTTTAAAAACCAAAAGTTTTTGAAAAGTATTCCAAATCGGAATATCGGAGAGGAACAATGGAACGATGGAATTCCCGTCATCTGGTTATAATAATAGATTTACTCAATAATTATCTTATCTTTTATAAGAAAAACGAATTTTTATTTTTAGACCAGAATCCGGATTGAATTATCTAATTCGGATTCATATCAAAATCCGGATTGTGATACCAATCCGGATTGATAATTTTTAATCCGGATAAACAGATTAATGACCGTTGTTTCAAACCGGATTGATCCGGATTGGTAATCCGGATACGGATTTATCCGGATTTGATGTCCAGCACTACTATATACCTATATTATTATCTCCATAGCCTGCGGCTATAGTATGACTTCAATAATTACTCAAAAAAATAAATACTTTATAGTACCTATATTTTATTATGATTAGGTACTACGAAATTACATAATTCACCAATAATATTAGTGTTAATATCATGTACTAATAAATAATAATATTCTGTCATCACTCATCACCTATATGATTTATGAAATAATATTTAGACAGGTTATGTATGATGATCTTAGTAGGTAGGTACCTACTTTATTGTACTTGTGCATCGGTACATTATATTTTAATGAAGATATAAATCTATGAAAAAAGTTACGACTGACTGGAAATATTATTTACAAACTGTAGTTAAAATATTAAATCGATTAGGTATCAGGTACCAAGTCGAAGGCTGGCTATTGCAAAGTAAATAATTATACGTATACACATTACACAGCTAATATTTTTGTAGAACGAGCTATTCCGGGTGGTGGTTGTGGACGTTCAATAATAGATACCGCCTTGGAAATGTGGAAGGGTTAATAATGGCAGCAGTACGCGCAATACTGTCAAAAGGGGAGGGCATTTGGCGGGTTCAATGGTCCTCGACAACAAATCCACCAGGGCACCAGCCACGCGAATAATTGTGGACGCGAAATGCGACGTCACACGAAAACTGCAAAACTGAACGACTACAAAAAATATATAAGTACCTGATATAAAAATAACAGAAATAAAATAGAAAACGTATTTGACATATTTTCGACTGTTCGGTAGACACTAGACATATACTTAATATATATTGGGCTCAACCATCGATCGCAGCTTGTAAATAAGTGTAATATACTTATATAGGTAAGTACTTATATATACCAGCTGACATTAGACAAATTTTAAAAATTAAAAAACATAATATTTTTTATCAATGGTACAACGACGAACGAAGAGATTTTTGTTGAACCCGTTGCGGCGACGGCGGCATCAACACAATTTGTACTTAGCCGAATTGAGACTGTTTTGATGTTTGGGGGGGGGGGAGGAGAGAAGGGGGCAATTACTGTCAATCCGGTTACGCTTGGAGTACCTACATTAAACTGAATAATAACAATTGGTTGTCAACATTTTCAATTCTAAGCGTACAAGAAAATGTAGACAATTATTTAGTGATTTCTGCTTATACTACGTCGCTTATGTAGTACTTTAGGTTTAGCCGTTTAGGTATTAGCCATTGTACACTCCGCCTGGATTCTGATTGGATAAAAAGGTCTAATGTCAAGGATTAATGTAAGCTCCACCAGTTTTGTTTTCTTACCTGTAATGGATATATGGAAAATCCACCTCAGTGTTAAGGCGTTGTATTTGCAATTTTTGAAATTTTTATAGGAACACTGCGGCCTAATTTATAGTAAATTTGTTATTTTAAGCGGCGAGTTAACCATTTATTACCTATAGAAATCGTGTGTGTGATACCCATATCGCTTTTAACTGGTTGTATACTTGTATTATATGGGAGGTTTTGTATAGAGCCCCAAAAACATTTAGTACGGGGGTCCAAAATTTGATGTGGGAAGTTCCCACTGAGAACGGGAAGTCTGATTATTTCAATTATTTATTAAGTTCTTTTGACGTATACACATTAGTCATTAGTCATTACCTATATGATTTGTTCAGACAATTATTATTTTTATATATTTTGTGGCATATAAGCATACGGCATACCATCTCTTATTTAATAAGGACGATTATGATTATTATACAAATTATGATTTCATATTGAGTATAAAAATGGTATACTGTTAGGTTTAGGCACCTATAAGTAATTTATATTAGTTTTTTGGTATAAAATCATTACGTCTAACTATTATTTAATGTGGAAGATTATGAATATAAAAATATGATTTTATTGTATAATATCATATTATATTAATTTTATGCTGTCTCTTGATTTTTTTCACTGACAGAGTTTACACGAACTCAATTTTAACTGGCGGATTTTACATGAACCCAATTTTACCTTTTTTTCCTGGCAGAGATTACATTAAATAAATGTACTTGTGAGTTGTGGCGGAGTTTACATGCGTCCTTAGGTAGGTACATACTATAATGTATCCACTCGCGTTATTGCATTATTGTCTCTGAGCTTTTGTCCTTCAACGTGTTGTGTGACAACGGACTTATACAAGATATCAGTGCCGACTGCCCATCCCCACACTTGAGAGGGTTCAAAAACAATAACTAAAAGTCTAGAACACGACCCAAAGTCCCAAACCGAATCCCGCGTTGTCTGTCCAGAGTCGTATTCGATCCCCTCGAGAGTTGGAATTTATTTTTTTTATAGGTATCGTATCTACAATAGTAAAATTGTCAAATTAGCATTAAATAAAAATGTGGGGAGAGTCAATCGACCCCTTAACCCCTCTACCCATAGGTCGAGATTCAGATACGCCACTGCAGTGTCAGTCGATATAATATACATAATACATAAATATAATATGATGATGATATTAATGTTATATGCAGTGAATAATAAATATCAATAATAATAATAATAATGTAAGCTCTCGTCGCCATTGTATTGAGGTCAAAAACCGAGCGACGGTGTGTGCCAGTGTGTGCGTATTCGCGTACATCTGGTGGAAGCCCTTCCACAAATGTAGGTCGAACGAGTGGTAGGCAGTAGGCACTGGGCGGCAGCGTAGGCGGGCGGGCGGGCTGCGTGGCGCACGCGCCGATCGCCGGACCAGGAATCAGCTGTGCGCCGGCACGTGTCGCCATCTACCGGGAATCTCCGGCGTCATCAGTCACCACCGCACGCCTCCCGCCGACCCGTCGGGGTGCATAGAACGACGACGGCCGACGGCTGCGAGCTAAGCCACCGTCAGCAGTCGTACAGTCGTATTGCAATATTGTGTAGTAGTTGCACCGTTGTTTCGGCTGTAGTCGTAGTGTCGTACCAATAATAACATAGCATAGTTGTCTGCGTGTCGGCCGTGTGAGTGGTGCGTGCGCGCGTGACGGCCTACTCTCTGTGCGTGTGCGAGTGTGTGTGTGTGTGTGTGTGAGTGTGTACAGTCCGTCGCGATGATAAGTGCCGCTGGTGGCAATAGCAGCAGTTGTAGTAGTTTTAGTCGTAGTAGCGATAGCGTACGCAATAATAATAATTATTCTCGTGGCCGTGCCGTTCCTTGATTCGCAGTTTTCTCGGTTTGACAACAGGCAGGCGGTTCTGGGACTCGCCCGTAGCGTTTTCGACTTGTTTTTCAGTCGGGTTTTTTTTTCTCATCGAACTCTAATTCGACTGTACTCACCCCCCCCCCCCCACGTCACCCTTCCCCACACCACCCAACTATCGTTTTTTTTCGTCTCATCCTCGGCACCCGTCCGTGTGTCGTGTTCGGATCAAAACAATACTGCGCAGCGGTGGCGTCTGCGGTACAAATGGCGGCCAGCCCGAACAACAGCAGCAACAACACGACCGTGGTGAACCCGGACTGCAGCGGCGGCGCGGCCGTCGGTGGCGGTAGCGGTTCAGCGGCCGTCAACGGCAGCTCGGCCAGCCCGTTCGGCCAACAAGGCGAGGACCGGTTGAAAGGCCTGTACCCGATGGTGGACGAGGACGACACGCCGTTGCCACGGAGCTGGAACTCCAAAGACAAGTTCACCAATCTCGGGCTGTCGCAGAACAACATACGCGTTCACTACAAAGGTATACAACGTCCGTGATCATTTTGTCATTGCGTTTTGGTGTCCTCCGCTATCCTTTAGACAAAACGGTCTCCCAATAGAATAACCAATAACATTATTCCCATTTCCCAGTTGACGTCGTATATTATTATTATTATTACTACCTACTATATATGTGGGTAACAAAGAATCAGCTGTTCATTGTTTTGTTTTGCGCGCACTGGCCCACTGTTGCCCCGTCGGTGGTAGTGTGGTGGGAGGGGGGTAAACGGTAGTGGTATCGGTATGGTATGGTACGTGATGTGCGTGTCCGCTTCGTTTGGTATGACGGGTCGGGTCCCTAATGTCCCTATCGACGGGCGATCGCACTCCAAACACTCAATAGCAGCAAGTGTGGTGCCTGAGGCACTCGCTGCTTGTTCCTCGACTTCCGTAGAGAGTCTGTTCAATTCGGACGACAACGTGTTTGGTCGCCCTCTTTTGTTTTTCGATTTTACCTCGCACCGTCGTGCGTGTTACCGTGCCAAGGTCGCGCGGAGGCTCTTGATCTCGCACAAATCTCCCGACAACCCAACCCCCTCCACGACCATCGACCACGACGTGTGTTTGTGTGTGTGTGTACCTATAACACTGCACATAATAATATTATAAGTAGTTATAACTAACCATAGGTGTAAGGTGGTAAGGCGTACCATGGTCCATCCGTGCAGTAGGCCCGTGTGGTTTTCGACGTACGGGTTTTCTTGAGCCAATATTCGTCTCGACGCTGAATAGGATGCCTCCCCCACCCGGTCCCTCTTGCACACGGCCGTTTCGCAATATCACGGATGTTGCGCAAATAATAAGATGAAAACGAAGCGTTTGCGTTTCGCGCATAATATTATTTTTATGTCCTACCCATTTTTATATCATAATAAATATTATGCCTACAACTGGTATTGCTAGTTGTAATGATAACATTGAAAAAATCCTAAATTACCAGGCATTTACTGCCTATGTAGTTAAAGGGCTAGTTGACTAGGACATCTACTTGTTAAAATATGTATTTTCTAATGTTCAATACTTTCAAAAACCTGAATGCAATAACATCAAAAGCTAATTTGTTCTCCTATTAGTTGTAAGCGCTTTGAGCTGTCTGTGGTTGATTGTGCGATCGAGCAACTTGAGCGATGTCGGTGTTAAGGTCATTAGTTTAATTATGATCTATATTTGTCCATATAAAATACTTATACCTCGACTTATACTTTATCCAATTAATCGAGCTAAAATAAACTCAAATAAAGTAGGTAGGTATATTGGGAAAATATATTAATGTTTTTAATAACTCAAATCCTGATTGGTAGGTATCTTACAGATCTTGATACGTCTTGATGTGATGACTGTTGAAATTAAGTGTTACAATAAATTACAACCTTATTACCTATATCTTATTATCATTCTCTTTCAGGTTACCTGTTACATTTTATTAAAACATAATTTTATTTAAAACATTATTAGGTATAGGTAAACTACCTACCCAGTGGCATTAATAACATTTATTTTATGTCATGGGGAAAAAATGCTGGTGTTCGACCCACCTACCTACTTGAAAAAAATGTTAAGCTACTCTCGAATAGTGCATTATAATCACAATAATATACTGCCTTTAAATATTAAATGACTGATCATTTATTATCACCCACCCACTCACTTGGCCCACCCATAAATAGTTTTTGGGAATTTTCTCCATTTGATACCCGTGTTCGGCGTCACCGTACATACCTATATTTTGTTATTTAATTATATAATTCAGGTAAAAATAACAGTATCAGGTTGACTATTTTCCAGAACGTACCTAGTTATGAAAAATAATAGTAAAAATATATTTAAGTTAACAGGTACCCAATTGAAATCAATGTACGAATATATTTAATATTGCATGTGCTTTTCCAAATTTTTGGTAGATCGTACACAAGTTTGACATAATTAGCAGTGGATAGATCGTACACTCCACCATCTCCACCTTAATTTTTGTATACATTACATTCAAATATTTAAAAATAATTCATTAAAGTTAATTTATCTTGTATGCTTGTAATTAATGAGTTATTATTAATTTTCAAAACTTAAAATTAACATTCTGATTCAAAGCTCTCAAACAATTTAAAACGGAGTTTTTATATATTAGATAATATTATACTTCACCTATTTATTTATGTGTTGTGTGATCTTAAATAATTATAATAATATAACAAAAAAAAGACAACAACCAATATATAACATAATATAATATAACAATAATAATAATACAACATTTCAATTAAATAACTGTACTTTTTAGTTTTTTTTTTTCTTATACCTACCCAGGCCCTATTATTTGTAAAATTTCAGACTGCACGTTTCATTTTATTCTCGCTACCATCTTAGCAAAAGGAATGTATTACATAATACATATTACATATATAATATATATATATTATATACCATATGTATACAATAATTTAACAATGCAATTTAATAAAACAACAAAATACTTATCTTTTAATAAAATCATAAAAATTAAATAGCATAATATAATAATAAAAACCTTAACTTAACTTTTTAATAATTAAAATCATAACAATGCATATTACTTTCTTGATTTTTCATCAAGTAAGTATAGTAATTGAAATGAAAAAAGTCTGAACTTTGAAAACTTCAAGAATTTGTGTTAAATAGGAAAATAATAAAAATGTTACTCAGTAATGATGAATAGGTGGGTAATTTAGCTAGCTTTAATATAAAATATTAATAAGAGAGATTTTATATCACACCCAAGCGGTATACCCAATTTGAATCGATAAAAACATTCGCGTGAACAGTCCCAAAATTTCTATTTTTTAACTTTTATCCTAAACTATGATACCTAGCTAGAAATTTGGTTGATAACTCATTAAAAAGGGATTATCAGGTAGACACTAAATTTGGAATTAATTTTTTTTTTTTAATTATTTAATTTTTCACAGATAAAAAAAAAAGAGTTATTTTCTCTAGATTTTCATTTAGAGATGTAGATCTCCGAAACTGGAGAACGGATTTTGTTGTTTGGGGTCTTGTTAAATTCACATTTGCTAGGAATATTGCAGTGAAGATTTTCAGAACATTCATTACATAATTCATTTCATATCATAATTCATTACAAAGCTGTAAAGATGAAAAACATAAAAAAAACGCCCAATAAAATTTGTTTTAATTTATTTTAATGTTCTGTAGTGAATTAACAATTAAAGATAAAGTTCTGCAAATCTTCACTGCACTTCTCCTAACCAATGTGAATCTAACAAGACCAAAATCAACGAAATCCGCTGTCCGGTTTCGGAGATCTATCTCACTAAATGAAAATGAAAATGATTTTTTGTGGGGCTGTTCACGCCGACATTTTTCTGGATTCATATCAAAAAATAAAATAAAAAAAGTTTACATGCCAATCCCTGACTTGGCAATTTTTGTTTTGTAGACCGTAGTGCACACACGTTCAAATCGTAGTGCACACTTGTATATTCGTAGTGCACATTGTGTGTCGTGGTGCACATAAAAATAGGGCCTGTACCTACCTTTTATAGAATATTTTTGTTTAATACACATACCTACATGTTAAAATGTCTTAAAATTGATATTACATAAATGGTATTAAATCTTGTATTAAATGTCTTCTAAAAATTGTTTTTAAAATTCAAAAGCAATTTAATACCTACCTAGGTACCTACTTATATTAATGTATTAAAAATTACTTTGATATTGGCCATTGATGTACAGTTGTATATAATAGGTATACAAAGGAAGGTACCCAATACCTATATAATTTTAAATAATATAAAATCTCATAAGGTTACGCTTATGAGGCTGTAGGTACCTCTTAATAATAAAAGATACCTACATTTGAGTAATTATTAAAATTACATGATTTCCAATTATTTTATTGTACCGATTCATATAAGGTACTTTTTATTTAGGTAGTAGATTTTTTTTTAAAATTACCTAAATGCTTTTAATAAGAAATTTACGGGTAGGTACATTCCATTACCTCTAAATCTGCATTAGGTTATTTTAATACCTTTTTTTTTTTTTTTTATTCGTTTATTTAAATGAATATTTACAATTTTTACTAGGGGCCACAATAAGTAAAATGTTTAGCATAATGGTGAAAAGGATAATGAAAGACATGAAGGAGCTTCACATTAGAAGCACCTGAGCTTAAATAATTTCCTTAAAAGGTATGCATCGAGTAGGTCTCTAGGCCAGTTGCGTTTGAGGCGTCTTGGCAGTTTTTCTAGAAGATGGTTGGAGTGAAGTTGAGCAATGAAGCAGTTGGGGTGGTCGTCCGTTTTGGAGTGGAGGCGAGTATAGAATTTGGCAGCTGTTTGTTTGATAGTAGCAATTTTTAGCTCGTTGTGGAGGCTGACATTGGTAACATACCAGGGGGCATTCACAGTCATTTGTAGGCAAATGGCTTGGAAAGCTTGGATAGTTCTAGTATTAGCTGGTTTGGCTGAACCCCTTAGGGTGATTCCGTAGGAGTAAGCTCTTATATGATAGTAGACGGTTAGAGGTGCTCATTTTTGATTTCAGGGTAAGGGTATTGTCTGAGGTTGGGATGTCTGCTGTGAATTTTAATACCTAACAAAGTTTAGACGGTTTAGTTTTCTTTTAGTGTCTCATTTTTACAGAAATAAAAATGTCATTGTTTACCTACATAAAAGCGAACAACTTGGCAATTATTAATTATTATAGATTAATTTAATTTTTAATGAACCTAATAATATGTTATATCTATGGGTCTTAATTACTATTAGATACCTATGTACAACAATGTAAATGGGAAATCAATAATTTTATTGATACCTACCTACCTAGTTAATAGTTTTTCGATTTTGATATGAAGATAGATATTGTTATATAATATAATATATATATACAGGGTGTCCCACGAGGACTTTTTAGTTTAGGTATAGGTAAAACTGCAAAAACTTGTTTTTTTCTGGACGGCGAGTCCCCCTCTACTGCTAATGGGTATATCCACACGGGACAACCTGTATATATATGTTCATTCTCTAAATGTATAATTAATTAATGTTCATAATTATCATTATGAAATCTAATGATATCTTTGAATTTGCCTAGTTTTATATTTATAATTATTTACAAACAAAATTTGAATAACATCTGATGTTTTTTAATCAGGAAAAATCATAACTAGGGCACCTACAACAATTTTTGATTTTTTTCAATTTCTATTCTACAAAATATTACGTACATATAATTATTTAAATTAGTAACCTAAGAGTCCTTTCAGAAATTTATAACTATAAATAATAGATAACCAAGATTATAATTATCCTAGTATGAGGTACATAAAATAACCTAGATAATATATAACCATATAAGTATAAAACGGCAACAGTAAATTATATTTTTAATGATTAAATAAATAATGTGTGTTAAAAAATAATCCATATCCATGGCAAAATCATTTTACCGCCACTGATAGAGGTGCCTATATTATTTTAAAAATGTTTGTATACCTAACTTACTTAGCTACATAACAATATTTAAATATTTTACTGTACGTACGATAAATAACAGAATTAGCTCTGTTAGCTGAAACAAAAAAAATTATAAACATAGGTACCTACTATTAATACATGTTTATTTAAAGTTAATACATATAGCTACCACCTACACATAAAAAACAACAATGGTTTTATACTGTGTAGACTTCCTCAAACTACCTACTTCATGTTTGTTAAACTAAAGATAAATATTGAATATATTTTAATAATATTATTTATATATTTTTCTCCTTAATTATTTTTTCATTTAATCTTTAAATTTATAAATATTAATGTTGTTTACTTGTTTCCCTAAATAATATTAATTTTTTCTTGTGATAGAAACTTAACCCTTTAATTATCATTATAATTTGGTAGTTTAAGAAAGAAATACAACATAAGTAGTAAATAAATGGTGTCTAACAGTTAATGAATAGGCAGCTTCTCAATAGATGATGGTCAAGTTAGTGCTGCATTCAAAAATTTGTGGGGCTCTATCAGTTTTTTGTAGGTGTGCACAAATTGTTTTCCATAGTTCAAGATATGTGGTCAACTTACTGGCAACAGTCACAAGACGTGGAATCAATTATATCCCAATAGCATTTCTCCACTTCTTCAATGTACGGTTTGAGGTCTGTTGTGACCCATTCTCGTTGTTGTAACTTGAACCATAGGAAATTAGATGATTGGATCCTAGACCAACTGATAGCAGTCTCGGCTCGAAATTGTGGAGGCTTTGAAGCATATTGTATATTTTAAATATTTTTACCACCGTACTTCATTGAACCAAAATTAGCAGCAGGGGCCATTAAAAATTATTTATTGTAATATTTGTGTTGAGGTCTTACGATTATATATATATTTATACACCCACCCACCAATTTCAAACATGAAGTGATTGCTTCAAATAATCCTATATCCACTGACTGATTGGATTGTTTAGGTTTGAAATCTATGTATTTAAATCTACCATGCTATATTGGCTTTCAATTAATTCCTTAGCTGTTATAATTTTTTTTTACTTAACTGATTTTGACATTATTAAATGTAATCCCGTATTATTTTATATTTGTATTATTAATTATTTGATAATAATAAAATAACATGGTTTTATGATTTTTAAATTAATTATCCGTCCAGTAGGTCACTTACTCAGTGAATACCAAATATTTCAATTTCCAATGTTAAATAATCAACTGGTAGTAATGGTATAGTAAATAGGTATATATTTATAGAATTACATGAACATAGGAATGCTGTCTGTTTAGAGTAATTCACTTTAAGAAGGAACCTTGGCAATCAACTTGTGATCTAGGAATTTATTAACTAGACTACAAACTTGCAGATGGTGTTCTGATGAAAACTAGTCGCCTCCAAGGTTTCTTCTTAACGTAAATACTAATAGGGTATTAAATAGACTATTTTTTCTAATGTGGTAGCTAATAAAACTTCAAACCATAATCTGTTTCAAAAGAGAACATACCGGTCGGCGACCAATTTATGTCTGGCGGCGCGCATCCCCCACCAATATCCCATTATTAGCGTCATCACGTAGTTCTCGACCATGGGCGAAAGCGGTATGTTCTCTTTTGAAAAGGAGTATATATTAGAAGTTTATCGGAGTTTATATAATGTATTATTCAATGTATGATTTATTATTTATGTGATATGTTGGCTTATTGCAGTATGCTTAGGTAAATAACAAAATATTAAAAATGATAGGTAAAAAAATTGCAATTTCCACCATAGAGACATATGTGAATAAATACATAATTACATAATACAATGTTATAAAATACAACTTTATTAGTAGATAAAATTTGCTATTAAAAATCTGATGAATTAAATCATTACCATTTGAAAGGTTAGGTTTGGAACCTCTTGTTTTTTTTTAAATCCTTAGTAAAATTATAACTAAAAATTGTTCTAATAAATGCTTTTGTTTACATTTATTTGCTATACCTAATAAATAATAATGAGCATTTTATAAATAATACCTATAGTATTTGATAATAATGCTTTTACTTGAAACTCATGTATATTAAATTACATTATGCTACCTACCTTTTATTTTAGTTAAAAATATTTATATTTGAATGTTGAGTATTGTTCAAATTTCTCCCGGAATTGCTTAATAATTAGCGATCTTTATAATGTATGTTTAAATTATTGGCACTTGTCCAAGGTCTATCTTTTATATCTTAATGAAATGATGTGCTCTAAAATAACTCAAAATATTTGTTATAAATATTCATTTAACATAGGTAGTATAACTATAGCAGGTTTATTATATAAATATGTTTATTGGCTGTATTTTAATCAAATCTTGTTTATAGTACATATACTTCTTCTATGAACTTGGAATTACCTACTAAATACTCTAATTCACTATTAATAAAATAACATTTGTGTCAAACTAATCCGAGTCAACATTATACACAAATACTGTGTAAAACTAATGTACCAACCTAATAATATATTCATTTAATTGTAAGTAAATAATAATTTTTCCATTTATTTACTTTTAGGTCATGGTAAAACACATAAAGATGCAGCTAGTGTTAGAGCCACACACCCTATTCCTGCTTCTTGTGGTTTATACTATTTTGAAGTAAAAATAGTTTCAAAAGGACGTGATGGTTATATGGGTGTTGGACTTTCAGCCCAAGGAGTCAATATGAATCGTTTACCAGGTAAAATTATTGACCCAAAATAATAAATTAAAATTGATTAATTTATAATATGTACAATACATCTATTCTAATTATAAATGTAATTTCAGGCTGGGATAAACATTCATATGGTTATCATGGTGATGATGGCCATTCATTTTGCTCAAGTGGCACTGGTCAACCGTATGGACCTACTTTTACTACTGGCGATATTATCGGTTGTGGAGTAGATCTTGTGCACAACCACTGTTTTTATACTAAAAATGGAACCCATTTAGGAACAGCATTTACTGACCTTCCTGTGAGTAATCACTTATAACTATTTTATTTTTTCTCTGATATAATATGTGTTACAACGTACATTTTTATTCTGCGGAACCAATGTTGTGTTACTAGCTTGAATATTAGAGTGAATTGACTTTTTTATTAAACTTAAATTAGGAACATTATTTGTGTTTGTAGTTTTGGTTTTTTACAATATTTAAATTTTTCTGAAAATGTACATACCTGTCACTTGTATAAAAACCTAAATAATTTAGAAAAAATCCATGTACGAATATAGATAATTTTCTTAACTTTAATTTCAATCAAAGGTTATTGCCTTCTAATATTAAAGTTAACAATACATGTTTGGTTCGGCTGAAAGCAAATTTGCTATGTTAGGTATGGTTCAGAGAGATGAAAAATAAATAATTAGTTAATTTACTAATGTATACAATTTTTTTTCAGCCAAATTTATTTCCCACGGTAGGATTACAAACACCTGGTGAGGTGGTTGATGCCAATTTTGGACAGTTGCCATTTGTGTTCAAAATTGAAGAAATGATGAAAGAACTCAGAAGCCAAACCCAAATGACTATTCAAAATTATCCATTTTCTTATCCATATTCACAGTGCCAGACAAATTTCCATAAGTAAAATAAAATAGTTAAATTTTAATAACTAACCTAGTAATAATAATAATTTTCGTTTCAGAATGGTTTCTACTTATTTAGTTCACCAAGGTTTCTGTGCTACAGCAGAAGCATTTATTTCCCAAACTGATCAATCATTTGAAGAAGAGATTGCTTCCATAAAAAATCGCCAAAGTAATTTTGAACTGTTTAAAAATTAAAACTAATAATAATTGATGTGTTAACAATTTTTGTAGAAATATTAAAATTAGTATCAACTGGTCGAATGGGAGAAGCTATTGAAATGACCAATAAGCTTTATCCTGGGTTACTTGAATCGAATCGTAACCTCCTTTTTAAGCTCAAATGTCGTCAGTTTGTTGAAATGGTCAATGGTACAGATTCTGAGGTAACACCCCGCTCTCATGATAATATTGAAATTCACACAACAACTCGTCCTTCGCCAAAACGTACATTACAGTCAAATAGAAGTCCAACATCTATACAAACCAATGGGTATGAATAAATTGAGAACCTTATAATAAAGATTTTTATTATTGTTTATTTATTTGTTTTTAGAAATATAAAATGTCAAAAACTATCAAATACTACTGAAGTGACTGAAATAAATTCAGTGAATTTGATATTAAATGGTTCTTCAGATGCAACTACAATTAAAACAATAAAAAATGGTACACCAAAAATTAATGACTACCAAATAGAAAAAATGGATTGCAACGAAGACAACCAAATGACTGAATATAATATTATGTCAGCTGACAATGTAAATGGACATCATCAAAATCACCTTTTAGATGGAGATTATAGTTCAAATGGTTACCACAATGGACATAATTGTGATGAACTAAGTAATGGAACATCAAGAGTCAATAACAATGGAAATGAAGAATCAATGGGTAAATTGAACAATTTTGATTTTATAGAAACATAACTGTATTAACTAATAGTTTTATTAAAATACAGATATTGATCAACCAGAATATCACCAAACTACCAAAAAAGTATGTGGTGGCAGTAAGCCGGGTGTTGAAAAAATGTTAGAATTCGGTCGAGAATTATTCTTACTTAGTTTGCAATTACGACAAGAATTAGGAAGAAATGAAACAAATAAAAAAATGTTACAAGTATGTATGAAATATTATAATAATTATTGTATTTATTTTATTATTGATGTTTCATCATTAATATAAAATATGTTTTGTTTAAATAGGATGCGTTTAGTTTATTAGCATATTCTAATCCTTGGGATAGTCCTGTTGGTTGGCAACTGGAAGCTTCCCAAAGAGATAGTGTATGTGCAGCACTGAATTCCGCTATTTTAGGTAATTAAAGTTGTGTATATTAATACTATACTTGAACAATTTTTGTGTTTAAGTTATAGATATCACCTATAATATAAGTTATCACCTTCGAGGAACTGTTTAAAATAAGTTATTATAGACTTAGTCATCAATCATTATTAATTAAAAATGAAAAGTATTAAAAAGCAAAAATTACCAAAAAAAAATTTAATTATATGACATATTTTCTAAATTATACATGTAAATTTGGAAATGTACAAAAAAAGTGGAAACAAATTAAATTTGTTTTTATTGTAATATAAAAATATATAATTACCTATGTTATATTGGAATTTTTAAATTTTTTTCTGTAAATATACTGCATTATTCCAGTATTGAGTCGTAATAACCATTTAAATAGCCTCAATAAGTCAATTTTTCAGGGACGTTTAACGTCAAGTTGTTACTGCTTACTACCAATATCTCATTATAAACAATGTTGTAATAGGCACAGTAGACTGTATATATCTGTAATAGTAAAATATAATTAATTTAATATTTTTTATACCTTTTATTTAGTTGTATTTTCTTGTTTAAGTTCTTATATTTAAATTATAACTTTAGAATCGAGTAATTTACCACGACGCCCGCCCCTGGAAATGACTGTTGGTCATGCCTATGAACTAGTCAAGCTGATGGCAGCGTCTAGTATGGGAGCGTGTGCTTTCACCAATATTGACGAACTGCTCAAATGACCTTCGTGCAATGTGCGCGTCTCACTGCCACCATTCTGCAGGTAAATAAAATAACTGCAACACTTAGCAATAAATAAATTGTGTAACATTATTCAGGAAATTATTATTTATACTAAACAGAGTTCAAAACGGTTGGCCGCCAAATTTGAACACAGTAACAATGGCAAAAGTACTTTAAGCGGCCACATCACCCACACAAATATTTTGTACAAAAAATACATAAATTGACAATTACATTTTTCTGTATAAGCGTGTAAGTAGTATTTTTTCAGATAGAATTTTAAAATATTTACCGTTAACACAATGTAAATTAGCATTAAATTTAACAAATTGAAATTTCAAACTTTGAAAGTTATTTTCACTCATAAAATTTTTTCTTGTTATTTAATTGTATTATTTAAAAAAAATATTGTATACTTAAAAAGTTTAAAAATTTTGTTAATCTCTTTTATTTTTGCGGACAAATATTTATAAAAATAACAAATTATGAAGGTCTGATTAACTTGTCGGTATATTATTTTATTGTCGGATCCAATTTATAATTTGTTGTACGTAAATGTTATTTGCGTATTTTATGATCTCTTCACATAATTTATGCAACATACTAAAATGATATTTTATTGTTGTAATGTGATTCTTGATTACCTTTTATGACAAATATGTTTTTTTTTTTTTATTGAATCAAATGACGTTTTATTTTTTATTAAATAAAAACTTCGAATCGCCAACACTAATGTATAAGATCATTTAAACATTGTACCATATTATTTAATTTATAGTTGTTAGTTTCAAATGATTGTACTAACAAAATATAATTAGTTCATTTAAATATAGTTTTTTTTTTTTTTGTCTGGAAATGTTTGTTTATTTTTTATAATACCTATTATACATATTTAGTATAAATAATTATTTGTATGTTTTTAAAATATGGTTGCCTAGCAACATTGTATAAGTTATCAAAACAATAAGCTTCAGTCTTCACACCTATAAAATTCATGTTGGTGTGTTACGAAATGTTCAATATATTATAAAAATCATATAGTTTTGTTGTTGTGGTTCTTATTAAATTATTATTAATCAAAGAATACTGTTTGGTCCTGTTAGGTACTATGGATAATGGATTAGTGTCTTATAAAAATACAGGTAATAAAATAATCAATTTATGATAATATAAACCTCAGTAATAAATAATGACCAACTCATTTGCTAGTAACGGGTGAAATAATATTATTTACAGAACCAATGATGCAAATTTTCAATGTTCAAGAAAAGTCTGATTGGATTATTTATAATCGTTACATACAACGAGATTTGGAATTATGTAAATTATTAATTGACCAAGAGTTACGAAACACTAAGGATAATAACGAATTTGCATTTTATATATTGGTAATAATGTGGAATGTGGATGTATAGAATAGATATATTTAATTCATAGATATTTTATATAAACTGAATAATCAACAAGGAAACATTAAAATAAACATCTGTCAATTTTAATTGTCAATATATAAGTAATATATTATTACTTATTACTATTATAGTATTGTATTTAACTCGGATGTACTTCAAAAAAATATTTAGTACATAATGTTATATAGTAATATATTACAAATGTAGATGATTTGTTTTAGGGATTAATTTATAGAGAAGAAGGTAAGATAAAAAATTCGTATTGGTGTTTTGACAGATATTATGCTTTGAATCCATTGTGCGTCGAAGGGGTCAAACAGATTGCTCGTTCATGGTATGTTGATTAATATTATGAATTATGAGTGTTAAATCACTAATCAGTGATAAATTAATTATAATAGTACCGTTGAGTATTTTGAATAAATTAGAAAATACTGTTTATTCATACCTACAGAACTTATTTTATTTCAATATATTTCAACGATTGGAAAATGATTAACTTATCATATTTATAAAAAAAAAAACCAATATAATAAGTCAATTGGCACATATACTTCATAATGTAAAATTTAAATGCTTTTAATTGATGGCTTTACTATATCAGCAGTAAAATATTAAAATGCCATTGATTTTCTATGTATCAAATCATAGCGAAGATACTGCTGTCTGCTCAGTGCTCATTGACAACAAAGTTGTGAAATACTTTTATTACCTACAAACTACTAATAATCAAATCATAATGTTTTAACTTTTTAAATAACAGCTTTACGTACGTACTTGCTTCATTAAACGTATAGGTACCATAGGCGGAGATTGGGGGGTGCTTGGGGGGCTTAGCCCCCCCCCCCAAAAAAAAAGATCGAAAGCCCCCCCAAAATTATTAAACATTTTTCATAGTATAAAATATTAAAATAGGTACTTATTTTACAACGATTGATAAAATCTTGGAACTTTACAAAATATTTTTTTTTCCCGAAATGTCAAAATAAATGTCAATATAATAATCCCACCAAAAACATATATGTAAAATGAGAGCCTATATATGCCTTGGTTGTTGACTTCAACTACAAAAGAAGTGAAATACAGGTAGCCATAACTATACCAATCAGCTCGGCTACATGTGAGCGAAGCTTTTCTGCAATGCGCAAAGTAAGACATGGCTGCGCACGAGTATGCTGCAAGACAAATTTAATAACGACGCACTATGAACGGTAGCATGGGTGCCAGGTTAGACCAGGGCGCATAGGTGGACATTAGGGGGCTTAGCCTCCTAAATATTTCAATAGCCCCCAAAAATCGAAACTTAATTTGAAATATCATTCGTTGTTTTCATAATTATTCTATCGTTTTGTTATGCATTATTATTAGTTTAATACATCTATCACATAAAACTAGTTTTGAAAATGTGTGGAGAAATAGCCTTTTCGAAATGACCGATTCAATTTAAAATGCGGTCACGCGCATATCCGATAGACGACGTGTTATCACTTCTTATCGATATGTCGAGCGTCGGCTCGCGGGATCACGACCGTTGTCGTTGTGACGTTATGTTAATATAGAAGATGTTATAAGAGTTTTGTCAGAAAACAAAACCATATTCCCTAATTTGCAAAAACTATTTACCATAGCATTAACAATACCTATCAGTTAGGCTACTTGCGAAAGAAGTTTCAGTGCAATGAGAAAAATAAAAACTTGGCTAAGGACATCCATGCTTCAGGATAGGTTCAGCGATCTTTCTATTCTATATATTGAAAAAGATATGTCGAAAAATATAAATAGCAATGATATTTTGAATATATTTGCTGATAAAAATAGGTATTTGTTATTAAAATAAAATAAAATATTAACTATTAAGTGTTCTTTATTTTGATTACAACTTAAACATATTCATATTTGTATTAGTAATATATTACACTTGTGAATGGGAAGGGGGTGCGGGGGCGAAGCCCCTGCGGGTCACTTTACATTGGATTATTATAGCCCCCCTAAAAATTCAACCAAATGTCCGCCTATGATAGGTACCTATATATTAAAGATTCTGAGGAGTTATGAATTTATTGATTTTGGTGGATCATATAAGTAAAAAAATTAGAATATTATTCAGGGTAAACAAAATAAAAATTATGGAAAACTGGAACATCTACACAAAATCTGTTTTTGGCGGTTTATTTTGTTTTTCGTTTTAATTTAAATTTTAAACAATATAAATAACTGTACTAATGTAAAGACCTGATTTTTTCACCAAATATTCATATTAGCATTATTACTATTAGTAGACAATAAATAATTTTAAAATATTTCGGTTCTGATTTATTTATATATATTTGTATCTTTTAGTTAGTTACCAATTTATGTTTGCTTGTGAGTAAATAAGATTTAAAAAAGATTCCTCATAGTGACTCGGAGTGTGAAGGACAGTTAAACAGTAGATTATGCTGAACTTCTAGGAGTTGCATAGAGCTTCCTCAAGATTGAGCGTGTACATGTATAGGGTACCTAGTAAATAAGAACGGAAAGGGGGAAGTTACCGCCAATCCGTAAACGTGACTATATTGTTTCGAAATAGGGTTCTTTTTAGGGGAAGTGCATAAACTCATGATTTGCTCTTACTACTCTTACTCCCCGTAAGATCGAACATATGGGTAGTACTCGACGGAACAATATTATGATTATATTATTATTACGTGTAGTAAATGGAGAAGATGAGGCCCATTTGGCTCTAAATTATATTCCTGTGGTTAGAAATCTAAGATGAAGAAGATTAGAAAATGGAATTTTAAAAGAGAAAAAATTTGTGGAAAATACTAAATTTAACATAGATACAGGGACATTTTAAGTACCTACGTATCAAGTTCTGCCACCATAAGGAGTTACATATTACTAGTTACTACCTATATTAAATACCGACCTATTGATTTTGTCATGATATTTTAGTTTACTTTTGGGAAGGAATGATGAAGCCCAAAAAATGTACTTGGAAGCAGAAAAAATGTGCAGGGAACCAGATACTAAAGTATATTACAACCTTGGTAAATATAATGCTAACATCGTAAATAATATCTATAAGTATTAGGTAATACCATAGAATTATAATTACTAACTAGTATTTATAAACAATGGTACCTACTACCTAATATCTACTATTAACGTTTTCAAATTTTTATCTTCTGAACTTAACCGGGGGTGGACTGGGAATAAAAATTGGCACAGGGGAAACAGAAAATTTGCCAATTTTGTGCTAATAATAAAATGTTCATAAGTTATCGGACCAAATTTATTCAAGCAGCCCAATTTTTCGCCAGGCCCAGGCGGGGACCGCCCACCCGCCACCCTAGCCAGTCCGCCCCTGGAACTTAATATTGGTTCCGCAATTATGTTTTATATATTACAACATTCAACAGGTTTGTGTTACTTGAACTTAGGAGAATTGGACAAAGCTAAAGAATATTTTCATCGCACTATTCAACTTAGTCGAAATCAAGATGCTTATGAAAAATTAGCTTCAATATTCGCCATAGAAAATAACTTCAAAAATGCAACCAGTATACTAATTACGGCTTCAAAGTTTGTTATTTTGAAATATTATAAAATATACAATAATCCATGTTTATTTTGATTCCACAAACAAGAACAAAATTTCATACTTATGAACTTTTAACCTAAATTAATGTACCTACGTTTGTTCAAGTTCTAACTTCTATAACTAGAGACTATCTGACTATATTATTAGGTATATAAAAGTTACCTACCTAGTATACAGCATTTTAGTTGGTATATATTTTGTATTAAGGATGACTGTCACTTGTCGGTATTGCTTTACTAGAGAGCTAGGACCCCACAAAAGGGGGACTGTTGGACCCAGAGTACAAGGGGCCTGGCTATTTTGAAGGCCTGTTAACATGAATTTATTGTTTCTTAAATTTTGATAGGATTAATTATTTATAATTAAATAATATTTTATGATATAAATGATATAAATTACGTATATACCTACTATAATTTATTAAATAAAAATCATGTATGGGACACTCGTATCACTTGTATTATAGTGGGTTGTATTTTATTGGAAGTTTTATATAGGCCCGTGCCGCCCTCTAAAACATTTAGTACAGGCCACAGGGACAGGGGTCAGGGGCCCAAACAATTTGATGTGTGGGGCATGGGAGCTTGCTAGGAAGTAACGTTGGTTTACCACTGTACCTATAAAACTATAAATGATTAATAAAAAAATAATTTATGCAATTTAAATATATGTGAAAATGTACTTAACTTACTATAATAATAATAACTTAAAAAAGATATAGGTACTGCAGGCATTGGTCACTCGCCTTCCTTCACCCACCTTGGCACAAGATATATACAGTGTGTCCACGCTAAGAGGTACCACTGAATATCTCAGATGGGTGACATTGTATTGAAATGGGGTTTTCGGGAGGTGATAGGGACTAGGGAGCACTTAAATACATATTTTCAGACCAGTTTAAAATGTTTAGCTCACTCGGTACGCGCATGCTCAATACGACTTACTTTTTTTTAAACCGTAACCCCAGTTTTTTATGCAGATTCAGGTAGAGTATTTTTTTAAAAATATTTATTGCATAAAAAGTTTTTTTCTATTTTCAAAACTGACCAAGTTAGAGTAAGTCAAAAATTGTATTTATGCATAAAATGTGTTTAATGCAATTTTCATTTATGGCCACTGAAAATAATAAAATAAGTGCCAAATAAATGTTTAATGGGGGACGGAGTGGCCGAGCGGACTAAGGAGTCGGTTCGAACTCTGCCACGAGTGGCATTTTTCTTCTGGCAGTCACGGTGTTCGGAGAGAGAGGCCGACATGGCGACATCAGGGCATGGCAGACAGAGGCGTACTGGGAGGTGTCCGGCCCAGTGGGAATACGGGGTTACCGGCCCAAATATAAGTTAAATATAAAGTAGCATAACCCCCTCCCTCCTAAAAAAAGTATACATATTTTCTTTAAATCTTTAATCACTTCTATATTATAATAAAATATATTGCTAATGTCTTGTAACTAAAAATTTTATTTATATTAGAAGGCAAATACTGTAACATACTAATCAACAAATAGTCATTATTAGGCTAGGAATCAATATCAATATCTCTAATTAAATCATGCTCGTTTTTTTACTATAGCAGTAGAATTCCAATCACACTAAAATTTAAAAAAATATAATTTTATGCTAAATAGAAAATGCTTATAATAAATAATTTAATAATTTAATTGTCAATAATGTTAAAAACATTAGGTAGGTACCAATGATTTTTCTGTGGCTGTGCCTGCTTGGTTTTTAGTCACAGTAAATGCTAAACTTGAATCAATATCTCTTATTAAATCATGCTCGTTTTGAACTATAGCAGTAGAATTCCTATCACACTAAAATTTTAAAAAAATATAATAACATGCTAAATAGAAAAGGCTTATAATAAATAATTAACACATTTTTATTCTTTTTTTTTTTAAGTTGAATTATTTTAATTTATTTTTATTTAATTTAATTATTAAGAAACTTACTAATAACTTCTCTGCAGCTATATTGTTTTGATCACACTAAAATGTAAACAAATATAAACCTAATTAATATGCTAATATTAATGTCGTATATTATGTGTGTAATAAATAACTAAATATTTTTACATTAGGTAGGTAAATGTGTAAATTAAAATTATAAAATAAATACTTACTGGATTTTCATTATTCGACCCATTACCACTAGGTTTTGATTTCTTAAATAGGTACATCTAATATGTTTTGACATGATTGGGCTGCAATTTGTAATTAACATTTTTTGGCAGCTCCACCTTTTGGCTTTTTAGAATTCATTATTTAAAATTTTTACAAACAAAAATAAAAAATAAAGTAAATATATCCAATATAAGGAACGACCCACTATTATAATAATATATGTCTTAATACAGACTAGTAGACCATACTAGATAAGAATACTATTATAGACAAGACTAAAGTTTGTAATGTGTAGCGTTTATACTTGAGCAGCAGTGTGCACGTCGTCACTTCGTCACTCGTCAGTCAGCAATCGGAAATTCTGAACTCGCGTAAAAATAATTATTAATTGTTATTTTTTGGATGTATATGGTATATCTATTATCTATGCTCACCCACACTGATATGATTTCACACATTTACATAAATGTACACTAAACACTAGAACACAAATACACAATACTACTAAAAACCCGTCAGCCACCACCCGGCGACCAAACGATGACCTGCATTTAAATGGAATTATTATCCATATTACATTGTTATTTGTTTATTAAAAGTTATAAATAGAAGTATCACCGTACCAAGCTGAATTAAATGTATATTTTCTTTATTTTGTGTTAATAAAAACTTGCATTTATAACCATTTTATAATATAAGATAAACATAATAGACTTATTTTGATATAATTATTATTATTTTAGTTAAAATATTTAAATTTTAAATTTACATGGTTCGGCCCGGCGGCCTTAGAAAGCCTGCGGCCCAGTAGGACTTTTCCTACCGTCCCACCTGGCCAGTCCGCCTCTGATGGCAGATACCTACGTGCGTGTTTGTTTTGGCAGAATTTTTGAGTGGGCACCAGTAGATATCTGCCATGCCTCGCAAGCCCCTCCCCATTTCCTCCTATGTTCATATATGATATATTTTAGCCATGGGTATAGAAATAGATTAATAAAACATAAAAGGATGGAAATGTTAGACAAGGTACCTAGTCGATTAATTATTCAAAATAATAATTTTAATTAAAACATCGTTGATCAATAATTCAGTATTTTAGTAGTTAAGTTTAAAATGTTTACATTTAAATTACGAATGAAGTTAGTTCGTAGGTACTTTTGTAGGTATTTATAATTTAAATAGCCACGACGTGTCTATGCGGCATAATTACTACATTAATAATTATTTTATGAATATCAGAAAAACCTGAAAACATAATCCCAATTTTATCTTAATCTTTTTGAATGATATAAAAGTAATATTGTTAGGTAGGTACCTATACAAAATTACGTAGGTGCCTACTATGTCTATACTTATGTCACAAACTCACAACCCACAAATATACCATTGAGAAAATACAAAAAATATATATTTTATCGAACTTTAGGTACTTTATTAAACTATAAGTCAATTTGGAAACCGTTAATTTACATTTATGTATCCACAAAAAGGTTGTTTCCATTCAGCACGAATATATCTGTAGACTTGGGTCTGTTATATATGAAACAACGTGATTATGATCAAGCCTTTAATGTTCTCGGAAATACACTGTGTCAGGATCCCGAAAATCCTAAAGCGCTCCTGACATTAGCAGCTGAAATGCAGGTATTCCTGCTTAACTCTGGGCTAAATAAAATTTTCTTGTTCGCATATAATTGAATCATCTTGTCAACAGAGAAACTGTGGTTACGACGAAGCATTGGCCAAGTACACTAAAGTTGTTACTGATTTATCTGAATGCTCTGAAACGTGGAATAACATCGGAATGTGTTTCTTTGGAAAACACAAATACGTTGCGGTAATTAAAAATTAAAATTATTTCTCATGAGCACAAAATATTATGTACATTTATTTAGAAAACTAGAAATGTATAGTAAATTTGTAAATTTGTATGATTAGTTTTGGTATAACCATTTAATATAATATAACTTTAGCTACCTAGGTATTAATTATTATTTATTACACACTCTAAAAGTAAGTAATTACAAAAAGGATTTAGGATATTTTATTTTAATATTAATTCAGATAAAAGAATACCTATCTCTACCTAGCTAGATATAGGGCACCTAAAAATATGAATTAATATCAATATTCAATAAATGTGTTTTATTTTTATATGAATAAATCAGCATCGACTAGGCCATTAGCTAGGGTATTAACATTTAACTACCTACCTACATAATATTATTAAACATGCATTTTTATACATATGTTATGATCTTAAATTGTATTACATACCTATTGTATTTTCTTTATTTTTCAGGCTATAAGTTGCTTAAAACGTGCTATTTATTTGCACCCATTTAATTGGATCGCCTTATACAACTTGGGCCTTGTACATCTATACACTAGACAATATGTATCAGCATTTGTATTCCTCTCAACTACGGCGAAATTAAACCCAAATCATGCTGGTACTTTTATGCTTATTGGGTGTAAGTCAATCAAAACTCAGAAGAAATAGTATTATTTTTTACTTAGATATAGTGCAATATTATAATAATTATTGCTAGCTAGCTTAGGCCTTAGGGTTTAATTCAATAAATTATAATTCATTATTTAGGAAGGTATTATAGTATTATATACTGTATATACGTCTTATACAAATAGTACAAACATTTGGAGACATATATATAGATAACACTGCTATTACTCTATTAGGTGAAGTATACACCTAACGGTGCAGTGATGAGTGATGAGTGATGACAGACACAAAAATAAAAACACACACATCATTGTAAAATCAATACATTCATCGCTCCGCTCAGCATCTAAAATTAACCATAGGTACACAGTTATGTAATCAGCTGACAGCTGTACTGAAGTACGATATTGCTTATTTTCTAATTTGTAGGGGGTCTTTATAACTTCAAATAAATTATTTTGAGGGGACAAAAGGACTTCCCCCCTTAAAATCTGCGTTTTTGACGGAGGTACAATATTCACGTTAGAAGGTATAGGTATAACACCTGACTCGGTAGGCACTGAACGTTGATTTCAAACGATGCTGCTCCGTCCCCAAAATCGACTGTCGCATTAATTGTCAGAGTGCCATCATAGATGCAATTTCAACTTTTGGCATGGCGGGGGGGGGGCTGAATATATTAAAGGCAAGTAGACCATTGCAATATATCATATTAAAGTTGTATGTCCTAGGTTTTTGGAGGGGCTACGGATAAGTTTGGGGGGCTTAGCACCCCCCCCCCTAATTTTCGCCTATGGTGCCAGTATACGATAAGTCGCGCTCAGTTTGTAGCAGATACCTCTATGTATAGCGGACCACGACGACGCTTGTTCTTCCGTACATTCGTGGTACCAGTTTGGCAATTTCCGTATAATATTTCGGCTGTATGCAGTAAACCGCGACAAAGTTACCCCTTTTCAAAACGTACCTTGACCTACGACATTATGTAAAAAGCTATGAAAATATAAGTATACATTATTGTACAAAAACTGTGATACAACATTACAACCTATAGTCCTAAAATAGGTACTTGCCTATTATGTAATTTATAAGTAATACTGTATATTGGTACCGAAATATTCCTAATAAAATATACTTATTTTGTTTTATTATATTATTTTATCAGTGGCATTAAACCATATGAACGACACAAGGAATGCGGAAAAGGCTTATCGTAAATCCATAGAGTTAAATCCAGACAATCCAGAAGCGCTAATCAATTTGATAATTTTGGAAGTTAACCAAGGCAAAATTGAGGAAGCTGAAAAAAATTTCCACTTTTTTCAAGAAGCATGTCTATCGTGTAGTGCAATTGATAAAGAAGTAACGTTAATAATTCATAACATAAAAAATCTATTTGCAATATCATTTACCTATAATAATTATTACGTTGCATTACCTAGCTATAAGCATATAAATAATGTAGTATTTACTTGTGGGTAGTTATACCGCTGATATATCTTGACCGGGTGACGCTTTTAATATTTATATATATTCTCTCGGAACATTTTGATTATTTTTAATGTTCGCTCATGCTTATAATATAAGCAAATCCTATGCAATTGTGACGAAACTCACATACACAAATCCAAATTTTTAAATTAATTGTTTTGAGGACTATATCAAATGAACTCCATGCGGTTTGTTGTTCGTAATCAAGCACTTCCACCAAGACTACCATAGAAGTTACCAACAGGCAACAATAACTGAGGTAGTGACTAGTGAGGTCTGAGGAGTTATCAATAAATTAATAAAAAAAATGTAACCACTTAAATTCTGCAATTATTCTACCTATTAAGTGACCCACATTTGGTATGTGGATACCATATACTCTTATGTGGAAGGCCGCACGACTTTCTAATTTAGAAGTTATAAAAAAATAAACAAATAATAATCAACTGAAACAACAATATTAATATATAGGTATTTACTATTTAGGAATTTAGGATAAGTACCTACCTTAATAACAAATACTATATATGACATATATAGTATTTGTTAATATTAATAGTAACAGGTAATAATAAAATCTGTACATGACATGCATTGTTCAATATATTTCTTTTATATATACATGTATATCATCAGACTGCACCATTATTGAAATAACTAATATTAATTATATAATAATGGAGCCTGATCAGCTGGAACTAGGCAACGGCGTCCTGGACCGCCTTGTCGATGAAAATTGGTAAAAATAAGACCGTAGCCGTACTTAAAGTCCACCATCCGATGTTGCGATAATACTGCGAGGAGGCTGAAACTAATAATATGACTTATGAACGACATGATTGAATAATATTTTCCCCCTAAATTACGATTACGTTTTGTGCATACGAACTTGTAAAATGTTTTTTGATCGATCCTGCCACATTCAACATTCGGTCGGCGTACGGTAAAGTGGATAACGCGCCCCAAAATCTCTCTGAATATGTTTCCTCAACCTACCAGTAAACGCGAGTATATTTGGATCATTAAACATAATATTGAATTAGGTAGGTACTTTTCGGTTATCACGACTACCCACCATCATATATTATAGTACGTATAGACTATAGCAGTGGCGTACGCAGTATTCGTTTATGGGAGGGGGGAGAGTTACCATTTATGTATGTAAATAAAAAATGTTTCTAAAATTGTATTCTTCTTATATTAATTAAGGTCAATAGCATAATTACATTTTAAAAAATGTATATTTTATGGTCTAACAAAGTAACAACACTTTACAACTTTGAACTTAAGGGGGCTGGAGAGTAATCAATTTTAAGGATTACAAATTAGGCATTTTATATTTCAAGTTAAATATGGGTCTTGTGAATGTGTTGAAAGTAAATGATCATTAGTGTGTGTAATTCGTAGTACCGATCGCGTTGTATGGCGGCATCATAATACGTCTGCCATTTTAAATTTTATAAAATTACAAACATTTTTTATCAAAAAATACTACCAGTGACTTCAATCACTACGCTCAGTAGGATGTTCCGATTTAAATTTTGAAAGTAGATTTGAATTCTCCTCTAAATTTACGATGCTTTGATTGTCGTATATTTTTCATATTCTATATCAATGTATTTCATTTTGAATTATGAATATAATCTATTTTTACTCTTTTTGTTAGTAAATTTCTAAGTAAAAAAAAAAAATCAGAAATTTAAATTGTCAAAGCTGAAAGCATAGATAATTTAATGGCGAATTCAAATCTGCTTTCAAAATTAATATCAGAACATTATATTGTGCGTTGTAATTGAAGTCGTGAGTCGATGTTTTCGACCGAAAATTAATCACGTTCCGGCTACCTTAATATTAATATTCGTCTTGATGATTCATCAAGTACAGCGTCGTTAATACCCAATATTTACAATAAGCTCCGTCCGTTGTTTTTAAATAAACTAACCACTCCCATCGAAAAACCCGAGAAAACTGAAATTTGAAATTTCGTTTTTCACATTGATAAGATTTATCTGGGTACCATAGTACTTTAAACATAGATAAATTTACTTCGTCTAACATATGAGTTTGTTTAAAATAATTAGCAATATCATTATCACATTCAACCTTAGTTTACTAACCGGGCTTTCTTCTTTTTTTTGTTCAACGGGTGTTACATAAATTGAAGTACTAGATTCGTCTTCGACTTCAAACGTTTCCTTTTTTTAAAAAAAAAAATTTGTTAGTGTAATTTTTTTAATTTTCTTTTCCTATCGGCTATCACCATACTGAATAAAAATTAATTTCGTTTAAATAAATAACTATATAAATGCAAAAATGTTGAACACGGAACAACACAGATCGATAGAGTTCAAAATAAAACAAAATTGAGTAGGTTATTCACGTTGATTAGTCGAATCGTCGATCGGTTATTTGTAGATGAAGTATATATTTATCTTTATGTCGAATCGCATTATTGCAATAATCTTATGATTGTGGATAGCAACGATATTACGATTACGTCGTACCTATTATACACGCACACGTTGATGGATGATTAAAATCACCTTTATTAAATGTTATATTCCATAAAAGAAATCATTATACATATTTTACTTATGGGGGGGTTAAACCCCTAAACCCCCCGTCCGTACTCGGTACGCCACTGGACTATAGAATATAGACACGACGAGGTCACTCGCTCGCTGTGCTCGCTCGGACAATTTAAATCAAAAACATCCCTCGACTTGATATAATATAAAACCACCTTGGCTCTTGGGAAGTTACCAAGGTAAGGTTAAGTTAGGGTAGGTTGCTTTGAGACCTACTAAAGGTGCTTTTACATCATAATTGAGGGATGTCGTGATAACCGAAGAGTACCATTAGGAGTATTAAATTATGAATAAAAAATGAACCGTGATTAATCTAGGTATACTGCGAATGTGTGATCGCTCTAAAAAATTTGGGATTTATCTCATCATGCATGCAATAATACATCATACATGGATACCTCGTACCTACAATACCTTACGCCTTTCCAAATATTATGATTGATTATATAGACATGAGCAGACTGACTAGGGTGCAGGCGATGTGGAAATCGGGATTCCCAACCCCGCTGTATCGCGGCACAAAAGTGTGCCGTGAAATTCTATGTATGTGTGTGCCGTGTATTTGTTATCATTTTATGTATTAACTGTTAATATACTTACTTAAGTCTATAATAAATTAAAATTACACGAATTTGGAGATTTTGGTTATTATGAAACTTATTGTTATTGTCCAGAAAAACGTAACCTTGCAGTAAATTTTAATAAATAATATATTATACTATATAATTATAATTCAATAAAATTAACTAAATAAGATAATACAATAAATTTGTGAAATACTTTTATATTAATATTCCTTTTTATCTCGTATTTTTATTGCTTAATAATAATATGTATATTATTGCAATTGAAACGTTGCCATAAAATTCTATAAAAGGACCAACTGTGCCGTTCTGCCGACAAGTAAAAAAAGTAGAAAATTCACTGCGCTGTAGTAATGTAGTAGGTAGTGTATAATAGGTAGTAGTATTAGTAGTATTCCTTACAAAATTTGAAAGAATTTGTCTTAAGTGAAATTATTGATTACTATAGGCGTATATGGTTATTTCCTTTTTAAAAAAACTAATTACCAAATCATTATACCCACCTATAATAAAATAAAATTAAGTAATCGCGATCAATATTGTTTGGTGGTGGTGGCGGGGGGAGGTTATAATTTATTTTTTAAAACCCTTGGATCCCCCAATGAGTGTAGGTACTTACAAACTCTTCGAAAGGACAGTCCTCTTCATCAAAGTCGTACATTATGAGTTTGAAATTTTAAAATTGAATTCGTCCGATCTGATCAAAATTAGTGTGAATTTGTATTTTGTTGTTTCTATAAACATTGGAATAGTCTAAAGTATAAACAAATAAATTGTTTGGTAACGGCGTAATACATATGATATAAGTTATGACGTGTATAATATAACATTTATCAACTACCTACCTACATGAATACATGATTATAACATATGTATATTATATAGATTATAGATTAACATGGTATTGTAATTATTTAATCAACCAATAAATTGGTACAGGTTAAAGGGGCAGCTCCAGAGAAATGGTTGCGGGGAGGGGGCAAGTCATAATTTTCAGAAAACTTTCGATATTATAAAATGATTTTTTTTTTTAATTTTTGTGTTTAACAGTATACCTTTTTTTAGAAATTCAGCTTAGGGAGGGGGAGCGTGGGCCTTAGGGCTCTCCCCTTGAGATAACCTGCGATAGGTAGTGTTTATATTTTGTTTTCTGTTTAGTAAAATCATAGACAGCTGGTTACTCGGGTCAAAAACCGTAAAAAAACACTAGGTTTTCCTTATTTTCGGAATCATAATTTATTGTATACGTACCAACATTCAACAAGTGTATCAATAAGTATCTAGAATCCAGACAATGTACATAACATACTTTTCTTAGTTTTATATAAACTGTTAATAGTGAATTGGTGGGAGGGGGTGCCAACTGCCAGATATAAATAGGAGTTATGTTGTATTCAAAATTAGAGCTCGTCTCAATACTAAACTGTAAGATGACGTGGGTAGTATTATAGCTTAGTCATATAACATATTCCCGCACATGACACACCTCTAAAAGTAAGCACTTAAAGTTAAACCAAATTCTCAAGTTATGCAACTCTGTTCTTAAAGGTAACTGTTAAAGTTATGTTTGTCTGATTAAGTAAATAGTAATTCACTTCATCCATATCTGCAATACAGGATTAAAAAGTCGTTACGAATGAAGACCTGCAGCAGGGCTTAAAGTGTAACAGAATAGCAAAAGGTAATGTGATATCGATATTTTGAACTTTCTATGTGTATAAATTGTAAACTCTTAACTTAAATAGGTATTAGGTATATAGGTAGTTATTGTTTTTAACATTTTTGATTTTGTTACATTATTGTTCCAACCAATGGTGTAAAGACTGCGGGAGGGACTATTTTGCGTGTAGCGTGTTCATTAGTTTTTTTAGTCTATAAATTAAGTATAGACTACATTGTTATTTATATTTCATTAAAATGTATAGGTAGGTAGGTAGGTATCCGTCTTACACTCTTAACTCATGTCACAAATATTATAAATTGACTTTCCATCCTGAGTTCCCATTTTTGCCACCAATATTTTTGATCCAAACTAGCACCCATTTTCCTGAATTTCAATTGCGTTTAATAATTATATAACAAAATACTCAATCTTAAATAGGTAACATAAGAAAATAGATATATTAATAATTATATTTTCTTTAGGTGTTAACTTACACAAATTAATTTTCTTAACGCCTACGCATAAAATATAATAAAAAATGTTATGTATAAAATAAAAAGTGTTTAGGTTAGGCTATTGGTATTATAGGCAAATAATATGGAATAGAAAGAAGATAAAATAATGTAGTTATACCTATACTCTGTACCTATAGGTATATTAATATTTTTTATCAAACTGAAAATAACTTAGGAGGACGTGAATACGTGATACCCGTAAGCGTTGTCTCCGTTTTACAAATGTACAGCATAGCAAAAAACTGTTTTGTGCGGGATAGAACCACTCCCTTGGTATTTATAGTAGAATTACAAAATTCTACAACGCATAGGGAATAACTTTATCTGTGTCATAGCGTTATTATTTTTTTCATAGCATTTACCAATAATTTTTAGTAAATTAATTAATTATTAAATTTAAAAAAAATCCTAATGTTCTCTAACTGATAACTTTGATTTTATTTATGTTATCCAAATAATAAAAACGCTGCGACACGGATAAAGTTGCTCCCTATGCGTTGTTTAATTTTGGTAATTCTTCTATAAATACCGAGGGAGTTGTTCTATCCCGCGCAAAACAGTTTTTTGTTATGTTGTACATATTTTGTAAGACGGAAACAACACATGCGGGTATCACGTCCTCTTAAGAGGATGTCAGCGCACTATTTGTTTTCTCTCTCCTGCCCACGCGCAACATAGACAAAACGCATTCACGCAGAATAATTTTCTATGTTTTTAAGTAATCTTAGAGTAAAATCACCCATTACAAAAAAGATAGAAAATAATATTTTTGAGGGAATGTCATATCGATTTGTCTAAATATTGTCCCAAAACAATTTAAACATAATTTTAATGTACAAGGTACAACATATTTTTGTTTATTTTGAAAGTCGAATACAAAGTCAAATAACAATAAAATGTAAAATCGATATGTCATTCCCTCAAAAATATTATTCTGTATCTTTTTTGTAATGGCTGATATTACTCTAAGATTACTTAAAAACATAGATAAAACGATTCTGCGTTAATACGTTTTGTCTATGCTGCTCGTGGGTCAGAGAGAGAAAATAAATAGTGCGCTGACATACTCTTAATAAGACTCAAATCATAACATTCATAACATTTCGAAAATAAATAATAATTTTTAACGGAGGAAATTATTTAATTCAACTACAACGCTTGCTTTTTGAACACAAATTTATTCTAAAACTTTAAGAGGGCGCTTTTTAATCGCGGTCAGAAATAAGAGGACTAAGTACAGGCCCAGTAGCCCCCTTCCGATCCTCCCTTACTTTAACCTCTGGTAAAGTCACAAATGGTGTCGTTAAATAATAAATATATTAATTCTTAAGTATGTATGTGTCAATTACTTTTGTACTTACAACATGATTGTATATAACCATAATGTAGGTATTATAATTTATCAGGAATCACCAATTACCCAATATTTTTGGAAGGCCACTCTAGGAAATCAGGAAGTTTTCGGGAGCTATAAAATTGTAATGTACCTACCTATACCCATATGTTAACAATAAAAAATATACTGAAAACTTAGTTTAATTTACAATATTTATAATATTTGTTTAAAAAAAAAAACATTTTCACATCTTTATGTAGTGTAACTCATGTGTACCTACCTACTACCTACGCCACTGTTCAAAGTGGTGCACTGGTAGGTTATGTACCTATACGTATGTTATGAAAATATAAAGAAGGTTAGGACACGAGAATAGAGTATTATCAGTTTTACTTTTTTTTTACATCGGGCCGGATAAAGTTTTTCCTCGAGCAGCTATCTGATGACCCCTGCAGCGCTTTAGCCACAGTGGCGTATACAAGGGGGGGACGTAGGGACCAGATCCCCCTCCCCCTTGGCTTTTTATTACCATCATAAAATGCTTTGAGAGAGTGGGGGATTTTCCAAATTTCCCTTCTCATTTAGGTATGTCGTTTTTTTTTTTTTGATCCCCCTTTTCAGAAATCATGTGTACGCTACTGGCTTTAGGTACTATATATAGCTGACCAGACCTACTACACTATAGATATCTGCGCTATAATGTTGCTATACCGTTATTGATTTCAGATCATCGAACTAGGAAAGCAAGTTTCAGACGCTCTTGACGGTCATCCGCGATCACTAGACGAAAAATATGATAAAATGCCTGAACGTGATGAACCCTGCTACGAGGTGGTAGAATGACGTTCCTCTTCAAATATAATATATACTTGTATACACTATACACGCAGGCACGGATCTGAAAAAGGGGTAAATACATTATTTTCCTGAAAATATTACAAATATAATTTTAGTAAGTACACAATATAATTAACTACCTAATGAATATCGTGTATTAAGATTAAAGGCATTTAAAGCCCCTTAGTCGCTCCTTGGATCCGTGCCTGCATACACGTAGACATATGACACATACTTATTTTAAACAAAACTGGACCAAGTCTGAAAATTATATAGTGGTTACTGGTTACTGAAATTGATATAAATATGTGATTGCAATATTGTACCGTACAGATTTTAGCAGTGTACTTTACTGCGATACGGACTTTGCTAATAAACCAACTGCAGTATAGGTATTTACTATTTAGTAATTAGGTAAAAATTAAATTTCCATATTAATAAATAATAAATTAAATGATACTCGATAGTGTTTCTTTCTTGCTTTAAACCTTGGTTTATAAGGTTTATTATTATTATTTTAAAGATTAAGGCATAAGGATGGACATTGAGTGGTTACTGAAATAAATTCACTGAAAACCGGGATTAGTTCCAAATGTTTTGGCTAAAGTATAAATGCAACACACAAATTATTAAGTACATCAGTTTTTTTTATTAATACAGTAACATAATGTTAATTAAGTTTTGTCACAATTCATAATAATATATTAAACAAATAATAATTAGGTACTCTTAGGGTTATAAATTATAATACATAGCAATTCCATACCTCCGATATCTGTAAACGTTATGATATCAACTAAAGACAAGAGAGAGATTATAAATGAATAGAGTATTACAAATAAATTTGACTGGGTATCACATTTAGTACATATTATTATGATTTATGTTTACATAGTACATAAATAAATTTAAAAATAATAATGGAGTAGATATTAATATATTATATTATGCAGTTTTATTAAACTATTAAAATAATCGCATTTTGAGGTAGCCCCAAAATAGGTCTGTTCTCGAGAATATTAACAAAGTATAATACAATATATTTTAATAAAAATACAATTTTTACCGGATTGAGTAACTTAAATATAAACATAGCCCATAGTTATACCATATACATAATTATATTATTTGTGATGTAATAGCCTGTATCATAGTGATATTCAGTGACTAGCCCAAAATTCAATCCATACATTTTACTTCCACTATGCAGGAGTACTCAAATTACAAATAACTACACAAAACCAAACACTATTATAATATATTAGTACAATTACGGTCCCGTGTTATATAACGATTAAACAAGAAAAAAAAAGAAAATATATAGGGTGATCATCACATAATATAGGCATTGATCAATTACAGCAAGCAATTAATCAATGATATTAGATATTATTCAACACCCAATGGTTGCGTTTCTAGCATAATATGTATACATTTTACAGTAATGTTAGTTTGTTTAATATGAGTAAGCAGAAACTATGCGTTTTGTATTTTAATAATACAGCAGAGCATCAATTATCCAACAAACTGATCAAAAAGAAGAAACAACAGTTAAACAATTTCAAAAGTATCATTTTATGAAACATTAATTCAATGAAATTGTATGTAGTAAATAATAAAAATAAAATATATATTTATAATTAAGATACTGTGAGTATATACAGGATGTATCTGGAAGATATAAAAATTTAAATGAGAAATTGTCAAATCTTCCAGATACGCACAATTCTTAAATATTAATAAAATTACTTAATTCGATTATTTTAAATAAACCCCACCTTACTAAAAGTTTAGATTATTCTGACACCATTGTTCCCCTTAACTTGTTTGGTCAATCAAAACTCTACTGTATTATTATCCATAGCTCTAAAGACTTAGGGTATAATTTATTGAATACAAACATATACATGGTATTACATAAATAAATGATAGATTTTCCCCACAAATTCTTTAATATTACTATATTATTAAAGTTTATATTAGGTTTATTAATTAATGATATTTCACAACACTGTTTTCCGTAGTTTTTTTTATAGTTAATGGTTAAAAATTATGAAGTAAATGAAAACCAAATAAAATCACTAAAAAATTTACAAATTTTACTATTCCCAAATGCTAAATCCCTAAACTCTCATATAATAATAGAATATCCAACTATGATTGATCAATAAAATAACATAGATACACGTTGCCCCTACACCATTTAATTTTAATGTTAACGTTAACGTTACATAATAATATTGAAATATCAGTTTTTTTTAAAAACGGATAGAAAAAAAAAGTATACAATAAGTACAGCATAATAATAAATAAATAAAACATTTTAAAAAAGAAAAACATGATTTCAACCTACAGGGTAAGTTACCCTACAGGTAATTAAGTTTGGTAAGTACTTATACAGAAACTTTATAATTCAATTTTACATTTAAGGAATAACATACAATAATTAATTTAGATTCATACAAAATATTGCAACATGTTTGTTCTTGTTATTTTTAAATGGAGTATATATAATAAATAAATGAGTCTATAAAATGGATAAAATTAAAAAAAATAATAATAATAATTAAACATCTTAAAACTAGTTTGACAACAAAATAAAATACAAAAGTGTATAATTGTATATTGCACATAAGAAACTGGCTGCCATAAATGGGAATAATTATAAAAATGGAATAATAGTAAACTACAATATTATAATAATAAATAAATAAATTTTAAATATTAGTATTAATGCACGAAAATATTATGGCACCATTGTTTATTTTCATTGAGCTTGCAAGGAACGAAAGACGAACTAATGTTTATGTGCCATGGGTGGATACATTTTTTTCATAAAATCGACAATATGAAGTGTTTCCAACAAAAATTAATAATTTTAATAATAATAATACTAGTAACACATGAGAAAATACTTTTTTTGAGTAACAATATTAAATGAAATGTATTAAATAAACAAAATAAGTCATTGGAAATATTGTCAATCAATAAATAAAACTCTATAATCCAGTGATAATAATAATAATAATAATAATAAAAAGGCAATATTTAAGAAAATATTAAAAAATTAAACAGAGGTTACCAGAGAACCAAGTTAGGACGGCAATTCAATGTGTAATATAAACAACCGGATATTCAAAAACAGGACGGATATTGAAACCACGGTTATAAAGGGACTCAATATTTAATGTCAAGACTTAGTTTAAAAATAAAACTGTATAGAGGACGGTTTACACTTATTTTGATCAACCCTACCAACAACAGGTGAGAAATATCTCAAATAAGGTTTTTTGTTTTGTTTTTGTTTTCATACACATAATAATACTAAAAATATAATTTCTCACCAGTCTCGGCGTTGAGGCTGACTACTATACCTTTTTGAGGTTTTTGATGGTGTTGAAGAGTTAGGTGTACCCATTGACCGTCGTACGTTTTTCATTTCTCGGTCCATTTCAATTTCCTCTAACCGTTGGGTGACCATCAATTTTTGTTGCACAGACAAACGCAACAACTGATTAAGTGTCTTTTTCTCTTCTTCAGCAGCAACTAACTGTCGCTGTAAATCATCCATGTGAGTCACTTGTTCTTCACACCGTGCAGCAAACATAGCTCTCAAACCTACAATCAATAAATTATTCAACTCACACGTATTGTAAAAAGAAAATAGCAAAGATTGAATGTGAAATTATTCAAGTATTTACTTGAAAATGTAGCAGCATCTTCTTTGAGTGTACGCAGCTCATTACGTAACTTGGTCATGGTTTCAGTAACAACCATTTTCTCGTTATCGTATTTGGATTTCAAATTATTCAATGCTACCTCGGCAGTATTTTTGTTAGTCTTTAGAACCATGCGTAATGATGATATTTGTTCTCTCTTAGTTGCCAAGAGAGACTGTAATTTCATTACTTGTTCTCGGAGATCAGACAATTCATCATTATTGTCCAACATTAAACTTCTTTGACCTACAAAAAGATAATTTTACATATTAATGACTCAGACACTGATTATCAATTAATTATTAGAATATTATCAATTACCATCATTATTATCTCGATTAACAGCTTTAGCATTATCTATTGATGTGTTTACAGATTCTTTAAGCAATTTGATTTGATCAAGTACGTTTCTCAGACTTTTAGCTACGAATGAAGCTTCAGTTAGACTTTCTAATTCTTTTATGAAAACATCAGACTTGAGTCGCGTTCGTAATACATCCAGGCGAGGATCATTTTCTTCTGTTTCTTTTGCTGTTTTAACGACTATAATAAAAAATATTGCACATTATTTCATCTATCTGCATACACAAAATTAATAGTATACCAATAGTATTTAATGTTATAGATTTTCCATTCAACACAGACATTTGGAGAGCTAGTTGAGCCAATTCGTCAGTGATGACTACAAGATCATTTTGTGCATTATCTAAAGAAGCACTAGCATCTGTAGCCAATTCTCCCAACAAGCGAACATTTGACTCAAGTTCCATTGTCTTTTGTTCTCTATCTAATAACTAAAAAATATAAATACCGATGAGTAAACAGATGAGCGTAATAATCTTAGATTATTAAATATTAATTGTAAAATATACTTTATTTTTGAGCATGATTAATTCATCTTTTAATGATAAGGTTTCTTCAGATGAATTTAACTGTCTTTCAAGTTCTTCTAGATCACCGTGAAGCTGGTCAATCTCTTTAGATGCTAAACTAAACCATTGTTGATAATATTCCAAAGTTGCATTTGATTTTCCATCTTCAGTCTAATTATATGAATTAATAATAAAATAATCATGCGAGTGATTTAAGAGCTTATCTAAGAAATAAAACATACCTTATGTTCAGAATCTACTTTACTGGTTTGAGTACCAAGATGTTCCAAAGACCTTATGTGTGATCCAAGTTTATATATACGAGATGCTAAATTTTCCAAATCTGATTTACATTTATCAGACGCTGATTGAGACTCTTTAAGATTCTGTGTCAACAAGCTCTTTTCGTTTTCCA